TCATTGATGAAAACATTAAACAGCACCGGTCCCAGTACGGACCCCTGAGGGACACCACCTGTCACCGGTCTCCATCTGGACATCGAGCCACTGACCACTACCCTCTGGATGTGACCATCCAGCCAGTTCCCTATCCACCAAACAGTCCACCCATCAAATCCATAGCTCTCCAATTTAGAGAGAAGGATGTTGTGGGGGACCGTGTCAAAGGCTTTGCAGAAGTCAGAACTGTAACTTTTAAAACATTTAACTTGTACCAAGTATTCCAGATCTGCCTGTGTAAATGTGCCCTCCATGGAGCTGGAGTCCCCTGTCGCAGGAACAGTGCTTATCCTGTGCTGTTGAATGTCTCAGGTGTGCCCAGGTGCAGTGCGCCCGCCGGGCTGTTTGGGTTAGCAGGCGGATCGAACCGTGCTGGTGAACACAGTGTAAGTAGCGCGGGCTACGGCACCTGCTTGGCTGGCAAACCGTCCTACCACAGCCAAAGTAGATGTGTCCAGTTGGAACACGCTGGGCTCCTCGATAAATACCAATATCAGGTAGGGCCAGGCATAAGGCACCTACTGAGACCACTACCATACAAGGCATGTCAGGCTGAACACGCTTTCTGCAGAGAGAACTATACAGGACCGACCCAGACAATATGCATCACCCAGGCAGCTAGCAGTACTCTTTGCCGTGTTGCTAGATGCATCATTCTGAGGCAGAAGTAATTCCTGCTCCGCTCTTGGGTTGGCAATCCTTTGTATTTACACAGATAGTAAATATCTGTGCAACCCGTTTTGTTGCACGATGAAGAATGGCTTCATGGGTCAGGTATGCCCAACACGCAGCCTCACCTGCTTACTTGCCAAGTGAACAGGGACGTGGCTGTGACTGGGCTGACAGGCTGGAAAGTCTGGTTCTGAAAGGCTTAAACCAAACTGTGACTGTTCATGGACCTTACAGGTTTTAGCAAGTTCCTTTGCATTTCTGGCTGGTGATATTTTATTTCTTTTTTCTTTTCTTTTTTTTTGCTGCTGGTCTAATTAATGAGCAGCATGTACTGCAGCATGTTAGAGAGAAGCGTACTGGTGTCTCTTCCTAGCAGCATCTCCTGCCTGTAATTGCTGCAATTAGTTGAATTAGTAATGCAGACCATTAGGGAGAGTCTGTGGCAACCTCTGGACACAGGTTGTAATGTTCCTGCACACAGCACAAAATTACCCCAGCTCAGCAGCACTGGCTCAGACCATGGCTTCTGCTGAAATTGTCTCCCATAACAACTCTTCTTGCTGAGAGCTGCCTATTCTGCTGAGCAGTAGGCTCAGTGGGATGACTCCTGAAACAAACCAGCTAAAATGTTCCTCACCAGGCAGGAAGCATTGCTGAAATCTCAGCTCCTCAGGAGCAGGGCAGCTGTATTTCAGTACACTCCATTTTTGTAGTCCAGATGAATATTCCTGGGAATTTCACAACATAACAAGCCTTCCAAACCCTTATTCCCGAAAAAGACTCTCCAGCTTAAATAAAGTCTCATTTACATTGCTACATCTGCTATGGCTGTCTCCAACATGCTGCACGTTCTCTCTTCTCTTTCCATACGTGTTCTGAGGCCTCAGCCTTTTCTTTAGCCTCCTATGGTCCTAGTGCTAGCAAATACCTCTGCGCCCTGCCAGAAGGTCCTTGCTCTCCCCCTCCCTGTTTGTATTTGAGCTAAGGAAAAAACCAGAACCGAGCAGTCAGTCACAAAGATCAGATTGAACCTGACGTTCCTTCACTCTTGATTTCAGTGGCCCAGACTGAGCCAAGAAAGAAAAATAGGATCAGTTGACTGTAAATAAAAATTCTAAAAATAGAGTATCTGTAAAAAAAAAAAGCCATACAGTAAGGGAATCCCTATCATATGTTACTCAGTCTCACCTCAATTGGGAGGCAAGATTAAAAGGAACTGGAAGTAACATGTACAAGGCAGTTTCCCTTCCCTCATGTTTTTAGCGTTTTCTTTCAACCATAGAAAACAGAAGAACCCTTGTGAAATCCTGGTGACTTCTCTCTTAAAACAAAATGGCTTTAAAAGTTCGTCTGTTCGGTGAGAGGTCAAGAAAGGAAGAATGCACAAAATATAAATTTACTTTCTACAATTCTTCTGGTCCTATAACATATATTTTATAAAGCATTATTTATCCTGAAGGACACCAAATCACTTTATAAATTATAAAAACAGTGACCACAACCTCCAACGGTGAAATGCAGCTGTCCCTGGGTAGAAAGTTATTAGTTTTTAATTACACCACTGTAAAGTAATTTAGCACAATAAGTCAACAAAACTATACTGCAAGAAATTTTTTTAAGTAGGATAGCACTGTGAATTAAGAATAAATTGTCCATCACTACTAGAAGACCTTGCTCAGGCAGTGCTAAGACCCTGGCAATTGGGCTTGATTTCCAGGCTGAATTTAGAACATGTGGATTTTGCTGTTAGTTGAAGATCTGGCAATTCACATGTAGGGTCTCATAGAAGAATAGTGATGATTTGCTTCGAGTAGGAAATAAACATTAAAATTACAACAATGTGTGGTTGTCATTTATCAACTGCTATACCTATCCACTTACCCACTTACTTGCTCATATCTAAGGGCTTCACACAACATTAACTTGGAATCAGATACAACTGAACTGACAATGTGATTCGGTATTTGTAAAGAATAAGGAATTCCTTTATAATTTTTCTTTTTCCTCTTGCGTATTTGGGGCATCATATGAAACCAGGAAGGCAGCATGCCCAGAAAAAAACAGGTGATATTTCTTTACACAGTGGGCTTTTTTTGTTGTGTGTTTTGTTTTTTTGTTTTTTTGTTTTTTTAAACTGGAGAACTCCTTGCAACAGGATACTGGTAGGTAATGAAGGTTTAGATGCATTTTGGAAGTGACTGGCCAAATTAAAGGTAAAAACATCCATTCAGAGCTATTAAATACCCCATACCTAGCTTGGGAAGTCCCTGTGCCACAGACACTGACGACCGAAGTATCACTATTTGCACTGTCCTGTTCAGGGCTCTCTCCCCAAGGCTCCATGCATGTCCAGGGATAGCAGCAGGGCACTGGGCAAGGTGAGCCTCTGTGGCCTCCCAGCCACTCTCGTGCATTGGGGCATGAAGAATTTTGAAGCCAAGTTGTGTTCTGAGCAAGAGGTGAAAAGTCGTGAAGCCTGGCCCTTGTTTGCCTTCTTGATCAATTTCCCATCTAATAAGCAGCTTAAGGACAGCAAGTGCAACATATTTATGCTGCACTCATAGACACGTGTTCTAGATTTCCTTCTATAAAATCCTCATGCAGCTTGTGCTGGTTCTGAACAGAGAAGGGCACAGTCAGCCAGACTCAGAAAAAAATGCAAATGTGTGATGTGCAGTACTCACCAACCCTGCCAACCCCGACCCCTATCTCCACTTTTTCATGACTGGCTCCACACTCGATTCTATCCATTAATCTCTGTCCTTTTCCCCCCATTTCCACTGCATGTTATTTACCCTGATATTCCATTTTTTTTTCTACTCTGTGATTGCTGTTTGTCCCATGCTGCTGATTTTGTATGTATAAAAATGAGTGTTAGAAAAAGAGAAAAACCTCCAGAAGTGGTGTTAGACTTAAGTCAAGGTCATTAACGAGATGTCTAGAAACCACAGAAAAGATAAGTACACTAATCTGTCTTGCCATTTCCTATCTTGTATTTTTAATCTCAGTACTTTCGATCACAATTCATCACTAACTGATTTTCTAGTTCCATCACATATTGGTTTTCCATGCACCTTCTGCTCAGATACCAACATCTGAATCATCCCGGAGGAACAAAGCTATTTCAGTGAGAAACAGCAGCAAATTCCTGATCACAGAAACAGAGTCTAGGAAAACTCCAGAAGACCATAACTTCTTGTAACTGGAATCTGTACCTTTTAAAACGCTCCTGGAGCCGAGAATTTTCTCTGTGATTATTAAACTTGCTGCTTCCACAAGACAGGAGAGGCTAGTGAGCAGCGACCCCAGAAATCTCTCCACCAACATGAGTTCTTCTCATCAGAGATGGCTCACTGTGAGGCAGTAAGCAAAAACAGCTACTCCATTTCTGAAATGGGGCTGATTATGCTCGTCCATTGGCCCCAGGGGAGGTAAATGGATTAATTCTTTACTGTCTGCCCAGTGATCTAGAGATGGTAAATGCTAAACATTCTTATGTACAGGCAACATGGTAGTA